GCATGAGTAAATAGGGATATGAACGCAGATTTAATATAGGCCCATAGAATTACGGGGACCGGCAAGGATTTGGAAAGTCTCAATGCAAGTCCTGCTTACACCTAACGAGTGCTGAAATGGGACATAACCAGAGGTAGAAAGGTCTCGGAAGCACTTGGGAAGAGGCTTCCCAAAACCTATCCAGTTCTGAACGGAGAGACCTAAGTAGAATTTGTCAGGTCCAATTATTCGACTCGGGCATCTGAATGAAATTAATATCTTCCTATCAGTGTAGAACCTTTGAGGTCGGAAAGATCCCGTGGGTGTGGCGACAATTTTCGATTTCACGCGAATGCTCGTTAGACAGACGGCTCGGACGATTGATGGTGGGGCTGTTCATATTAATCATATTCCTTCAATACAGCGGAAATTTGGTTTGAGAACCCAATAACAATGCATGGAATTCGGAGAAATGACGAACGTGACCCAGTTTGAAAACCGGCGGCTGTAATATTTCCGGGTGTAGCTGACATTCAATTAACCTTCGGCATTCTTAGCCAGTAATGTAATGGTCATATTGCATTGGGGTATTCACTCATGCTAGCCCATGCGGAATGTTCTTTAATTGAGTCATTAATTTGTATTCAGCAGAGGAAATTTCACGAGTTGAATTTCGCGTGAATTTTTCTGTGATTTTATGAAATAATTTTTCTTAAGCATTGAATCACGCAAAAAATCATGAGCCTCTTTATTTTCGGTCCGAACTTCATTGCAATCACGAATCAAATATTGAGTGAATATTCTTTAGCCCGGTGGCCTGGCGTAGTGGTTAAGGCCGTTGCCTCACAACGGATAGGTTCCAGGTTCGATTCCTGGCCGGGTAGAATGGTGAGATCTAACCATTTTTAAAGTCTTGATCAATCGCCATATAGTCTCATCAGACTCGAAGCGATATAAAATAAGCATAAAAAAAATGAGTGAATATTCCATAAGCATAAATTGTGCGCTATACGACTAGAGCAATACAGTGCAATTTCGCCAGCACGTGTAGGTGCTATTCTCGTTTGGCAAAAAATTTCATTGTCAATGTGACTGCAGCTTCGAATATTTGCCTGCACACGGAGGGTATGACACTATTCTGAGCCTTTAATTGTTTCATAAGGTCAGAAATATATGCCATCAAGCGCCAATTTCAAATTTTGGTAATAAGCGGACTGGCTGTCCCATGGGGTCTGATGGAATTGTCACCGTGATTCTATTTTATTTGTTTAATATATCTTCTTGTCAATCTGAACCGGTTCAGGACTAGAGGAAGGTAGAGCAAAATGGACCGGGAGGGCAAAACGGACCACTGACTGAAAATTGGTAATTTTTTTTTCTTTCCTGAAAATCGGGAACACTGAATATCTTGAATTAATAGTGAATTTCAGGATCATAACCGTCACAGGGGTTTTATAGATAAGAAGTGTCGTTCAACCGCAATTTGATCAGATTTTCTAATCACCTCAAACCACAAATGATTTTAAATGTTTGTTTTTGCTTCCGAATGGAGGCACTCACTGTCTCACTATCAAAAAAATTAAAAAATAATCAATTTTCTGCCAGTGGACCGTTTGCCCTAGGGGGCCGTTTTGCCCTACCCTCCCCTACTGTAACTTCGAACCCGCGCCACTCGACTGCCGGCAGTATAAGAGTTTATCCGATGCCATGATTTACTGAGCCATCGCCGTTCTGAGAATTTTTTGTGAAAAATCGAAAGAAAGTGAGGCGGAAGTCATACAGAGCACGTTTATTTCTTTTATATTGCTAATGATTCATTTCAAGGCAAATTTCAGGCAACATTTTTTCAAAATTTCGTCTAACAATAAGTTGAACAAAACAATTTAACCCGTATGATGTGCCGCCTCGGGCCAGTCAGCAATCCTCTTCTGGTTGAGATGCCCCAGAGGGAGTGGATGAAGAAAAATTTTGAATTTACATTCTTCATTTTCGTTTTTAATGGAAATCCTGATGCACGAGAATGCAACTTTATCCCTGCAGCCCTTACATTTGGACTCATAACGAAAGGTATTTCATAACAAAAGGTTTTTCTTCCGATCCGAGACACTTATTCCCCATGAAAATACAAATATTGCCTTATCAATATCGCAGCGAGTGAGTGAATAAAATGACTCGAATCATTTCGATTTCGAAATGGTTCTCACGGTTCAACCCTTGCAATCTCCCCCAAATTCATCCTGAACCTCTCAACTCTCCAACTCAGTAACATTTAAATTTGTATTTTCCTTCCGCATCATTAAAATAACGGCCCCTGCCGATGTCTCTGGCAACCCCAGTGACAAACCAGAGGGAATGAAGTAATCGCCAACAGAAAACTCAAGAGGACAAGCCGTGCTGTACTGGAATTCCACTTAAAACCACCCGATGAATCCCTGTCGACTGGTTTTCACCCGTCTTTGAAATCCCTGTGGAAATCATAATATCATTATTTGAAGTCAGTTGAAGTCAATGGAATTACGTGAATCAATTTAACCCGTGTAATGTGACCCCTCGGGCCAGTCAGCAATCCTCTTGTGGTTGAGGTGCCCCAGAGAGAGTGGATGAAGAAAAATTTTGAATTTACATTCTTCATTTTCGTTTTTAATGGAAGTCCTGATGCATGAGAATGCAACTTTACCCTGCAGCCCTCACATTTGGAGTCATAACGAAAGGTATTTCATACTTCCGATCCGAGACACTTATTCCCCATGAAAATACAAATATTGCCTTATCAATATTGCAGCGAGTGAGTGAAGAAAATGACACAAATCATTTCGATTTCGAAATGATCCTCACGGTTCAACCCCTGTAATCTCCCCCAAATTCACCCTGAACCTCTCGAATCTCCAACTCAATAACATTTAAATTTGTATTTTCCTTCCGCATCATTGAAATAACGGCCCCTGCCGATGTCCCTGACAATCCCAGTGACAAACCAGAGAGAATGAAGTAATCGCCAACAGAAAACTCAAGAGGGCAAGCCGTGCTGTACTGGAATTCCACCTAAAACCATCCGATAAATCCCTGTCGACTGGTTTTTCACCCGTCTCCATTCGTTTCATTCCCCGAATCCTTTTTTCCCCATTTCCCGGTCTCATCGATAAATCTCTGCTCCCGGAATCCCCGACTAATAAACATCCATCACGTGTCCGTGCCGGTCACACGCCTAACCGATGGAAAGATGAAATTTATAAGACTCGTAAACACTGTCTACCCCCGACAAAAATATATTCATTCCAATAAGCCATTAAATAACAATAAATAAAGTCTCTCGCGTGACTCTATTTGTTCCGTGAGGAACGACTAGCAACACGGGCTACGGAAAAAAACTTGGGTGTCGATACAGATTTTTTTTTTATTGCGTTCAGAAATTGCTGATGGTGGAGCGTCGCAGGGGGTGTGAGGGTGGCCCGATTGAGGAATTGGAAAAGTTGCTCGAGGGTAATCCTTTGGTTGATAAGCTTTGGATTCCTTGGCTCTCCTGTTTCTAACAATAATTCTTTCTGGGCAAGTGCAAGCAGTCGTTTCTCTCGTTGTTTTATAAAGTGTGTGAATCCTGTGATTGTTGGAAGCGATACATGAGTTCATGGTGAGTGATGCGATTGGATGCACCAGAGAAATAATTTATTTGAGTTAAATAAACTTCATTTAATTGTTTTAGATTTTTTGGGAAACTGATGAAGTGAAGACAACTGATAAAGCATGATTAGGGTTATCTCCATTTTTCTAAAACGACGGTCAAATGAAGGATGTAGAGAGGATCATAAGGGCCAGAAAAAGGATCTATGTGACCTTCTTATGGATGAAGGTCATAAGAAGATCAAATGGAGGGCATAAAAAGAATCACAAGGGTCGTACGGGCCAAACGAAGGCCATACGAAGGATCTTGAGGTTCAAATGAAAGCCATAAGACGGATCTTAAGGGTATACAGGGTCATATGAAGGCCATACGGAGGCTCTTGAAGGTCATGAGGCTTAACTGAGGTCCATAAAATGATAATAAGGATAATGAGGCTCAAATAAAGGGCATAAGAATGATCATAAAAGTAATAAGGTAAATGGAGACCATTAAAATGACCTTGAGAGTCATGAGGGTCAAATAAAGGCCACAAAAAGGATCGTGAGGGTCAAGTGAAGTCCATAAGAAGGATCTTAAGGATCAAATGAGGGCCATACGAAGGCTCTTGAAGATCATAAGACTCAAATTAAAGCTGTCAAAAAGATCATAACTGTAATAAGGCGCAAATAGAGACCATTGAAATCATCTGAAGGGTCATAAGGCTCAAATAAATACAATAAAATGGATCTTAAGGGTCAAATAAAGGCCATAAGAAGGATCTTGAAAGTCAAATGAAGACCAAGAGGGTCATAAGAACACTATGAATATATTCCTTAGATGTTTAAGTCTGGAGAACCTTTCGGACCTCCTTGTGACTCTTATAAAGGTCATGATTGCAATCGAAGTCAATACCGGGAATTATTACATTTGGTTGAAACTCAATGATTGGATTGATCCCAGGTGATCCTTCCATGCGATTTCAAACCCAATTTAACAACTCGTAAGTCATGATTCCAAGAAGTGCTTATAAAAAATGATAAAGTGATAGATAAAAAAGAAATCTCACCTGAGTACCATGAGCGGACACAACAGAATAGCAAAAACCGAAACCATGAAGATGAGATATTTCTGTGTACGCTTCTCCTTCCTCACGTCCAGTTCAGCGTCATAAAGATCGTAGGTAGTTGAAAAACCGGAGAGCCCAACAGTTCCGCTAGTCATCACGCTACCGCTCTCACGTTTTCCGTCCCGAAGTAATCTGGAACGAGAGTGGGAAAAATAACTTGAGTAAAAAACATCTCGCGATCGACCTTGGAGATACCATTATTCCCGCAGATACATAATGTGGAATCGATATCCAACGCGTTCGACACAAATAATCCCAATTTTACGGACAATTTCATCCTGGGATCACATTTGAATTCCGATGTCTGGAGATTATGAATTTTTATGCTCTATCGGATGAGAGGTCGTGGAGGATGGGATTATCCTTGTACAAAAAAGCCGTAAAGCTGGCATTTTTAGAATCTCTCGGGATTAAACAAGTGGACAATTGCATTTTGTACTTATTGTCGCTAAATAAGTTGGCAATTTGCTTGCAAATGGGTTCTCTTTTTTGAATTCTTATCTCACTATTCTCTTCTTCTATTTTTTCATGTCATAGTACTATCATCAATTGAAATGTCATCAAAATTTTGCGCATTATTTCGTTCTGTCGAATAATTCTACACTCAGACCCTCTCAAGACTCGAATTCGTTTTTAGTCCGGGTTTAATCAAGGTTCAATCAAGGTTTAGTCAGGAATAGCCGGGATTTAATCAGGGGTTATTCAGAATTTAGCCAGAGTTTAAGCCAGGTTCTATCAGAAGTTAGTCGGGACCATGAATCAATATGAGTAAGTATTCAACATAATAGACTGGTACCTGACTTTAATAGAGATAGAGCTTTTGGCATAAAAAGCTCATGACGGTATTGTGTAACTTGATCAGCCATGGTGCTATTCTTACCATTTTTCAACTTGATTAAGAAGGCATTGAAATATACTTTTCAAGCCCTGATTTAATTGCTATTACTGATTATTCTTTCAGTAATCATGAAGAAACCGATTTTCTCTTTCAAAACGCTTAAAAAATGTGCTGTGACTCAACAACGAATTGTGCGACCCCCATCATACTCTGATAGAATCAAGAGAATATTTATATTATCCCCGGGCTATTTTACATGGTCAACCTTAGATGTTTTTAAGGCATAAATTACTTTGGAAAGCGGGATGCTACATGCTATCCATCGACTTTCTGGACCTCTATATGAAGGAAATAATTCAATAATTCTCAATGCACAAATTCGCATTTAATAGAATTAATAGAATTAAATTAAACGCAATTTAGACCACATTTAATAACCCTAACACAAAAAAATGAAAACTTAAATTTGAGCGATTACAAAGCTTTCATTCAACATTCTTCTGGATTATTTTACCCATCGGAATTTCCACCGACAGGGCGTAACCAGCAACATCAACAGGAAGAAAATCCAATTCATGTCGCCAGCGTAAAAAGTTAGTACCACTGAAAACTCGACTGGAATAAAAGCCCAATGGTTTTTACACTTGTTGTTTTTCATTCCCCGCGCCGAGTAAGACTGAAATAGGACGAAAAGTCGAGATAAATCCGCATGTGGGTTTCAAGTATCAGTAACTGGATTATCTTCTCTCCTTCAGTCGCGGATTATTCATCCATTAGTGGCTTACCTTCTTGTAAATACGAACACAGCGACATCATGTCGCTTTGTTAACATATTAGCAAAGAACACGAGGCGAAAAAATTAGGGAAGACAACTATTCTCTCCGGAAATTTTCCACTGCGGTGGCTATTTGGTTCAAACCCAGGCAGGTTGCGCAGGTATTGTATTAATGGAATAGAACCCCTCTCTTCCGATTTCGCAGGTCACTTGGGGCTTCGTTCGCGGGGAAATAAAAATGTACGAAACATTGAAACACGAGATGTGTACAAAAGAAGCATTGTTGATTGCATTGAACAACAAGCACATTTCGATATTACGGAGAATCGTCGAATATACAGGGCTCTTCCATGAATATCTGTTGGCACGGAAATGGAAAATTGAAAAAGATTCGTTTTATCAGAGGAAACTTGGATGTTTTCACTGCGGAGTGCAGTCAATATTTTCTGCATTAATCATTCACCGTGATGCACCTGATGATTCCGCTGATAGAAATGCCGCTGATAGAGATTCACTTGCTGTTGACGAGGCTTCTGTTAGTGCATGTAATGCATGTGAACCTCGTATTATCCCTGTATAAATCCCGTGTGACCTTTACATGACTCGTGTGGCACTTATAATAGTTTTATGGACGGATTAATATGTGACACGACCCTCATGACATTCGGACCCTTAATGGTTTTGTTTGAACCCTCGAAGAGATCTTTTGTCGTGTCACGGAAAAAATATACTTGAATTAAGTATATTTTATACCAGAATCAAGTACATGCGTAAACCTGATGCAAGAATAACATATACTTGATTCAAGTGTATTTTAAACTCGAGTGGAGGATGGGTGTTTCAATTCGAGAATGATTATTTCGTATCAGCCCGGGTTATACCGAACGCTCTCAAATAATATAAGGGTCAGAGACTAAGTGTGAGAATATAAGGGTCAAAGAGTGGAGGTTAAGAAATGAGGGTCGGAATATTAGAGTGAAAAACTGAGGGCCTGAATGTAAAGGTGAAGGAATGAGGGTCAGAACGTTAGGGTTGAAAAAAGAGGGTTAGAATATTAGGATCAAAAAATAAGGATCAGAATATAAAAGTAAAAAAAATGGGTGTCGGGCAATAAGGGTCATATAAGGGCTAAAAACGGTGATCAAGCATAATATATGACTTATATTTAGACCCTCATTGCCTGACACCCACATTTTTTACTTTTATATTCTGACCCCCATTTTTAACCTCTACTTTTTGGCCCTTATATTCTGACACACAGTGCCTGACCCTTATATTACACTTAAAAGGGCTTGCTACAATCCGGCCTGATACAAAAGAATCATCTTGGAATTAAAATATCCATTCCCCAATTGAGTATAAAATATACTTGAATCAAGTATATGTTATGCTCAATTCGGGTTTTTTTCCGTGGTTGAATCAATTACTTGTGGATAAAAAAGAAAGTTGCCAGCAAAATACGATAATTTTCGTAGTAGTAATTGTTCTCAGAGAATTATGTGAGGCTCCAGTTTTATCAAGTCAATGTTATTGAGTTTCTCGGCAGAGCTAATTTTTTCTCTGAGTGTACCAACATTTCACATTCCCAGAGGTCGATTTCAAACTTTCTACTGTTTAAAGACGTAAAATGAAATCCGCGCACATGCATTCTATCGTCACAAAAAATCTCACGTTTCTTTTTTCATTTATGTAGCTCTACAATTCTTTTACTGAATTCAATAAAGCTCTCTGGAATCCCCTATTCATCCTATTCTACTGTGCGTTTATGATTCGCAATAAAAAGAATATAGAAACACGTGTTTTTACCGCGTTTCCGTGTCCTCGAATATTTTGTCCTCCACATGCATTTAAAAAAATAAACATTCCACACGTTGTGTTTGCTGTTCGACAATACTGGGATTATTTTTCCATCATTTCCCCACCACCTGACGTGTTATTAACCATTTCATATTTCAAGGGTAGTTACCCAGAAAATTTTCCATCACCTCCGAGAGCCAGACGTCTCCCGAGGTACATGCGTATAACCGTACTCCCATTAACTTTCGCGAAATTCATATTGCCTGCGGAATAAGATCCCTTTGTTCGGCGGAGGGGGGGGGGGGGCTAGAGACTTCCCGTTAATTGCCCCTAAACAATGGTTCGGGGTGAATGAAAAAGACGCCACTTACGTTACATCATTGCTGGTATTGCTGCTGTGTCGCGAGTAGTTCTTCGCTCGGGCCTCGAACATTGCCACTCCCATCGGCTCGTCCTGGTCCTGGAGTTCTCGGCTGGCTTTGACGTAGAGGTAGGCCGTCACTGTCAGTGGAGCGATGTAACTGCGGGTGACGTTACATTTTTTCTTATCGAGGAAGAATTTTTACTCTAGGAAAACTAGTGACTGCGCTGTTAGAAATTTTTTGAAAATTGAGCAATAGTTGCCCTTGAATGCTCAATGTTGTGAATTTGAATTCAATTTAAGATCAAATTGTTCATGGAATACCTCATTCAGCTTGGAAATTCAGGATAATTGTGTTTTGCAGGGTAGATTATCACTGACATTTCAATTACATCTACACTGTTATAAATTTTCAGTTATAATACCCCGAGACCTTCAAAATTATCGGAATATTTCCCGATAGCTTCGTTGCAAACAAATGAAAGTTTCAAGTTTTGCAGGCTAAAATTTTTCTGCAAAACTTAACACTTTTGTTTGTTTGCAGAGAAGCTTGAGGGAAATATTGCGGTTAATTTTGAAGGTCGAGAGGTATTCGGCGGAGAATTTTCGGGGACTGGATTTTGGCCAAGCGGAGTGCAGTGTTCGAGAGCTTCTTCCAGCAAAACATCCAATTGGTTAAAAATAAATGAAGAGCTACTATGCAATTATCAGATGCAATTTCCAGCAACTAGTGTGCAATTTCCGAAAAAAATTTGATAACAAAAGAGTATTGTGACCTCGAATACTGCGCTGTGATTAGCTAAAATCCAGTCCCGGAAAATTCTCGTCTGAATTTTCCGTGCCAACACGGAGAAAAAATATTATTTTTGCCAAATATTCATTTGCTTGAGAGAAGTATTTATTTTTCCAATGACGTATTTCTCCAGTCGAGTTAGTCTCAGGCAATCCTCAATAGGTGTCAATTTGGACAATTATATTGTTCCTGAAAATGAGCATGTTAGTTATGATCTTGAGTGCACTCCCTCAATAATTATCAACATTAAAAAATTAATGGAAATTCATCCTCCTATAAAATACGAAATTTAGGAAAAATGAATAATCATTGGATGAGTTCATCCAAGGTCAAATGCAACATAGTTATCCTCTAGAGCAACATGATTGTCATAGTTGAAACCTAATCAGGCTCGCCTGGGAATGAATCAATAGAAAAAATACCATTTTGAAAAAATGAATATTTCTCCCAAGTAAATGAATATTTGGCAAAAATATTTTTTTTTCTCAGTGAAATTCCGGAAATTTTTATCGTGTTCAAGTCCCGCTGAAATTTCAGGAAATCTCTTCATTGAAAAATCAAATATCCTATTAATTTTCTGTTCAAATGATCTGGAAATCAATAAAATTCTTGATTTTTCAGTTCCATTATTCAGTGAATATTCAGAAAAATGAAAAAAATTCAGGGAGAAATTGAAAATTTCTGTCATTTTGTTTCTGAATATTCATGTTCTACTGAAAATTCAAATGGCAAATTGTGAAATTTTCATATCACTCCCACCGAAAACTCATGAATTTCCGTGAATTCTACGTAACACTTGAATTCACACAATTCATTAACTTCGAATTTAATTCATTTTTGGGGGCACAAATTAAGCCATTGCGACATACATTCTGGAAGTCCTAGGCATCGAAAATTTCAATCAAATTATTTTCACATTGTGGGGATCGAACGAGACCTCAAGACCGTGTGAACCTCAATCCGTGATAGTTAATTTTAATAATACATTTTCCATAAAATTATTCGGTGATAAGAATCAACTCCAGAAGGTTAAATAAAAAGTAAATAATTCATTGACAAATATAAGTGGATTAACACAATAAAAAAAGGAAATTCCGTCTTACGTAAGTAAAAATAAGCTCCTCATGTACTGCTGTATATCATCAGTGAGATTAGCCAGGCAAATTCCCAGGCCTCGGAAGTGCAGTTTCTTGAAGCTCTATAAAGAGATGGAAAAAAAGCTCTGAAGTATCACTGAAAAATGAATGAACCCCGCCATAAACTCGTCCCCCTATTCACAACTCCATAAATTATGTATCCCTTCATGCCCCGTGAGCTCATCCCCCTGCTAAAATTACGAGAAAAACCATTACTCTAGCATAAAAAGCCAATGGGCTTCAATGAGGCCGAGAGAATTGAGAGTCGTAAAGCCAGATATTCCCGGCACTTATTACATTACGCTGCATTGCGTTCATTCAGAATCGCGGTGATTCAAGAATAAATTGGATTACCTCGAGATCGAGATAAGTAGTATAAATCGCGTATGGTAGGACAATGCAAACTGCGAAGAACCAGGTACCAAGGGCGCAGACGAACGCTGGAATTCTCGGCTTTCCAGGTACACTCACGAGCCGGTATCTGTCGCCGGCAATCAGTAAGAAAGTCATCATGGATACATGAATGGGTATGTCCTGAAACATAAATCAATGCAATCCACATGAATTCGTTGTTTAAAAATGTATTCGAATGTCTTAAAATAAGAATTTTTTTCCGTCTAAAAACAAGACATTTAATGGACAAGACATTTTCATGTCTTGAATCAAAACATTTGAGGATTATTCAATCGATACTACCCGAGTCGAATAATTGGACCTGACAAGTTCTACTTAGGTCTTTCCGTTCAGAACTGGATAGGTCTTGGGAAGCCTCTTCCCAAGTGCTTCCGAGACCTTTCTACCTCTGGTTATGTCCCATTTCAGCACTTGTTAGGTGTAAGCAGGACTTGTATTCAGACTTTCTAATTCCTTGCCGGTCCCCGTAATTCTATGGGCCTATATTAAATCTGCGTTCATATCCCTGTTTACTCATGCGTTATTGAAATAAAAAATGCAATTATT